GTCATCACCTTGTTGTTGGCACGCTGGAGTACCATACGAAGATCTGGTGGCAGAAGCAACCGGAGAATCAAATGGGAAACATGGTCTTCGATGGACACGAAAGCGAAATTAGCAAACAACATCGCGCGACGGTTTGAACAGATCCCAGTGACGACAACTGACATTGAAACCGAGTGGCAGCTCTTTATGAGCAGCATACTGGAGACTGCTGCCGAATGCTGCGGATATGAACGGATTGGCCTGCCGCCTGGAGGTCAGAAAAGATCTTCGTGGGGTACAACTGACAGTTAAAGAGAAGAAGACGGCGTTTAAGAAATGCCTTGGAAACAAAGAGCCTTCTGCTCGCGTGCGATATGTCGAAACATGCAAAGCAGCAGCGTGAACAGTGGCAAAAGTCAAGGTTTTTTCCTGGGAGAAGTTTGGTGAGGCGTTGGAGTCGAATTTCCACACATCAAACAAAGTATTCTGGCATACCATCTGCCGTCTCTGAGTTGAAACGAAGGTAATAGTAGTGAAGCACAGGTTCGGACACCCTCTTTCCAAGGATGTTGACGTTCATCGCCGATTGAGGGAGTGCTTTGAGGAACTCCTTACCCCTAGCAACCACAGGATGACTCGCCTGGAAAGCAACGGCAAACATATGTTACTCTTTTTGTAGATCAAATGAAACGAGCTTTGAAAAGTTTGAAGAATGGTAGGAATGCTGGAATTAATGAAATTCGACGAGAAACGCTCAAAGCATTGAGCGAACTAGGCATATTCTGGCATATTCCTGTCTGCAGTGACTACGGAGAAGGCACTAGTGGACTGGAGAACAGTTGCTGCACTCCTATTCAAAAGGGAGACCACAGAGAGTGGTTTGATTTTCAGGGATTACCTTACTGAACCTCCCTGGTAAAGTCTATGCAAAGGTGCTAGAAAGGACGTGCCGAGGAATATCTGACTCAAAAGTACAACAGGTGCAGTGTGACTTCAGGTCTGGCCGAACCGCTTCTTACCATACACCTAAGGGTTGCTTATACGAATGATGGAAAATGGTAGGAAGAGCTCGACAAACCGATTGTGATTGGTGTTTTTTTGTGAACTGTCTGAAACCGTTGTGACTAAAGCAGAAGTAAGACTGAAGACGGAACTCTTTTTACAAGTCGACCTTCAATTCTGTGTTCATCCATAGTCAAGATTCGTGGGCCACGACTGAAAATTTCGGTTTCGTGGACAAGCGGCTGAAATGAACTTTTCGAAATGAATCGTTAGTCTCAAGTTTGTCGACATGAAATCCCATGAGAGTCTTGGTGTACAGCAGCCTTTTCTTTAGACTGAAAAGTCACAGCTGCAATGGTTTGGGCACGTGTTGCGAATGCCTCCAGAAATGAAGGCTAAGCAACTGTTTCTTACAGATCCAATCGGTAGAAGACCCAGGGGACAGCCAAGATTAACCTTGTGCAAATATATGGAAGAAGTCTGCTCCAGATTCCACTTCTCTTCTGCCGAAGCTCAGACCCTGACAGATGATCGGGAATGTTGGTAGCACGGGAACGCTTGCCTCAAATAGTAATACCTATGTATAATTGCAAGCATCGTTCCTGAACTGACATAGAATTTCTATCAATCTTGTTTGGTGCAATCGCAAGAAGAATTAACAATGGGGTCTGACAGGAATTACCGACATGAAGCTGTCCCTACCCTGGAGTCATCATCTGCTATTGTCATTGAGTTTTTCTCTTCTGCACAATGTCTTACGGCTTGAAGGTCTACTGCTCCTTGTGTATGACATTGGAATGAAGTAAATAAAGTTACCAATCTGTTATCCATCTATATTTTTATTCTTCATCATTTAGCTGAGTAAAGACATATTGTTTGTACTTTACCGCGAACTTTAAAGGGAGATGTGTGTGGGTGTGTGTGTGGGGGGGGGGAGG